GGCCACCTGCGGCCCCAGGCGGAGCCGCTCGCGCCCCACGACGTCTTCATCGCGGTGAAGACCACCAAAAAGTTTCACCGCGCGCGCCTCGACCTGCTGCTGGAGACCTGGATCTCGCGCCACAAGGAGATGGTGAGCCCACGCGGCCTGGGCGGGTGGGCGGGGTAGGGGGCTCCGTCTTGTCCAGCTGGTGGCAGTATCTGATAAGCACCAGGCTGCGTCTCTGTCCAGCCATTGGGCATTAGTGCGGGTAGTGACGCCAGTTCACCCCCTTCGAGTCCAGTTTGCCTGGCAGGGCCACTCTCCCTGTGCAGTCATGGAAGCGTCGCATGGGGACCCATCCCCAGCCAACTTCCAGAGCCCTGGACGGCATGTACTGACCTTACGTCAGCCCCAGTGCCTAGTGTTGGTGCCGTGTGATGCTTCTTGCCCCCCGAACACTGGGGCACATTCATAGGGCGTTATTGTTATTGTCCCTAAACCTCCCCAAGGCAGATTCTTGGGGCATCCACCTGGGCTTTGAAGCTTCCCTGAGGAGGAAGACTCTTTCCTTAGAGGTGGAAGGGGGGGGCGGGTTAGGGCCCTGGGCACAGAGCTGATCCCCTCCCCCACCCCAGCCTTTGCTATGAGATGGCGGGGGACAAACCATTCCTGAAGGCAGTCTGAGCTGGGTGGCTGTTGGTGAGCCCTGGGGAGTACATCTCAAAAGGAAGAGAGCCTTGGGTTTGGGGGTCTGTCAGAGACCCCTTCCCAATCCAATGCAAGAGTCTGGAGCCTAGAACCTTCTGCTTAATACACCCTAGTTGGGCATTAACTTCCTAAACACCCCAGTTTGAAAATCTCCCTCCAGGCTGCAGAAGATGGCTGGACGGGGGCCTGCTGGGGGCAGAGCGTGGGCCCTGCCAGGGGCGGGAACATCCCTGGGCCGAGAGAGTCAAGGGATCACTAGGCATTTGCGGTGAGGGTGAGGGACCCTTGACTGGGGCGCAGGCTCCGAGAAGACCCCACACCTCTTCCCTCAAGGCCTGGGGGCCTCTTGGCCCCACTGAGTTCGGTTTTGGGGCAGGGCCCTGGCGAGGTCATGACGAGGGCCAGGGGGCAGGGTCCCGTCTGCTGTCGGTGTGGGGAGGGGGTCCTGGGAACCCCACGGCCGTGTCCTGGGAACGCGGCGTGCCTTTCCCAGGGGCTCAGCCAGCCAGCGGGAGGGGGCCGTGGGCCGGGTTTTGTTTGGCGGCTGGGCCGTTAGGATTCCCAGTGCCGGCACGCCGGGCTCTCGGGCAAGGTAACAAAGCCCCTTTCTCCAGCCGAGAAAGGCGTCCGGCCTCTTGTGCGCAGCTACGCGCTCCATGGGAACCGCCGCCGGCTCTGGCCACTCAGGTTGCCTGGAGATGAGGGGCCTGTGGCCCCCCCCACACCCCTGACTGACAGTCCTTCTGGGGCACCATCCCTGAGCCAGGCCCCTCCCCCCACCCCGCCTCCCTGCTGTGTGACCTTCCGCAGTGTTCAGCCCCCTCTGAGCTGTCACCAGCTCTGAGCGCCTCTCTTCGTGGACTTTGGGGGCTTCCTCTAGCAGAAGGGCTGTGGTGGGGGGTCTCAGGTACCAGTCCCAGCCAAACGGGGTGATCTTGGACAAGACCTAGGGCCTCACTGAGCCTCAGTCTCCTCATCTTGGAAATGGGGAAGTATTTCCTGTCCAACGGTGGAAGGGCTGGCTGAGCCTGGAGGCCGAGGGCATGAGCCCAGCGAGCACTCAGAGTCAGGGTGGGGGCCACTCAGCTTTCCTTCTCACCGGCTGACCCCACCCAGGAGAGGCCCTGCCCCCAGCGTCAGCTCGTGTGTCCCAGCAAGCAAGAGCCCCCCTTATGGCATACTGTGGGGAGAGGGGTCCTTGAAACCGCCGCAGCAGAGGGCTCCGCTGTGCCAGCCCTGTGCAGGGTGACTCAGAGCCACTCTGGTGGGGGGAGAATCGAGGAAGTCAGGGCTGCGGTGGGGGAAGCCCAGAGAGACTGCGTGAGCCGAGAGTGGGCGTCTGACCCACGGGGGGGCAGGCAGACTTCCTGGAGGAGGTGCCATCTGAGCTAGACTGAGTCGAAAATGCCCAGAAAGGGCATCGCGGGGACCATGAGCATGAGCACGGGGGATGCACGAGAGACTTCCAGCAATCGGGGTGGCTGTGGGGGCGGGTCATAGGGCCACCCCTCAAGGGCCCTTGGCGTCCAGGATGAGGGGCCGGGCCTTCGGCCCACACATCCCTCCCCCACGCTCCCCGGAGCGGGCCAGGCTGCTCGGTGGCAGCGGCCACAATGGCTGGCGGGTAGCTGGGCATCCTGTGTTTCTTTGAATCGCAGCTCCAGGAACAAGCCTCTTCCT